CAATCGATATATAATATATTTTTCATGATTAATACATCATAAAGAACAATTATAATGAAAACATACCTGACCAAAACACCTTATCACAACAAAAAAACTTCAAAGCACAATCAGAAGTACCTACTCACGTCGAAAATCCACGAAGAAACTTCTATTGTTTGGAATATTTCAAAATCACTCGGTCCTGAATAATAGTTTTGCTATTAGCGAATAGATGGCGCCTTCCACATGAGATGAAGCTATACGGTTCCACTATATTACCACAATGCAAGTAGAAAACGGTTTTTGAATGTATGGTTCCATTACGAAACCACCTCCTTTCAAAGGGTTAAATTTCTCATAAATACTTCCAAAGACTGTGATTGATATTGACGAATATATATCACTTTAGTCTGTGGGTCTACAGCGGCAATAGAATTAATTTTAAAGATTAATTTACTTCTCAGTACTTGTATTCTTTTCGCAAAATCAAGGGGGTGTTCGTTTCTATTAGGGACAAGTGTAAAAAGTTGTTGTTCAAGGTTATCTAAATTTTGTTAATTATAGTTTCGGGCCACGGGAACCACTTTTTAAAAAGACTTTATTTAGATTTACAGACTTTATTGTACAGAAGTTACTCTGACAATCGTACTAACAGAACTGACTCCTCCTTCAAGATGGCTAGCTTTTATAAGTTTATTATAACTTAGTCAGCATTTGATGAATAAGCATAAAGGAGGGTTTTATATACATAACTTGCATTAAACCCTAGGGCGAGACCTTATATTTTGTTACTTTTCATTGAAGCAACCATTGGAAAGTGTAGAAAATGTCAGAACTTAGACACTATCATTTATTTTATAGTGACAGTTTAAATCCAATATTATTTATTTTTATTCATTCATTAATTTTAAGGTTAGGGATGCAAACCCCTATTGAAACTCTCAAGTAAACTGTATTCTTTGTTTTATTGGTATGCTTGAAGTGTGTCCTGTCCCAGTGTAACTTAGTTAGTCTACATCTACAGTGACAATGTTAAAAATGGGTACAGTATTTCTGGAAATTTCTGTAGATTGCATCTGAATAATAGCTTTCAATTTGGTAACCCTTTTCGGCAATCACAATCAAATTTCTATTAAAAAAAAATCAAGAACTGACCTGCGTCGTTGCCTCCGCAAATCAAGAGCTAGTCATTCCAACTCTAGATACTATTAAATCTAGTAAAGAGTAAGGAAACGAGTGGTTTAAAGAAACATTACACTCTTTGGTGTGGATTATTGAGTGTAATTAATCATCGCCAAAATTGTCATAATTCCTTGGTCATTAATCCTAGTGATGTTTTTTTCCTGGATTTTGATAAAAGGGTTAGCAAGTACTTTTCTTATGATGTAAAATTGTTGTATTTTAATGAGTTTGTATTTTTTTTGAACCAACTCAATTTGTCACAAAGTAAGCAAGCAACTAACTAACCATATTTTTACGATTATCCTTCTTTTAAATAAAGCTGACATTTATGCTATGCTGTTCCTAGTTTCATAATTGTTAGCGACATTCATGTTATGTTGTTCCTACTTTAATACTTACTTCAATTTGTATTAGTGTTAATAATTATTTTATATGGATTTAACATTCGAAATAAATAAAAATTCCAAAGTTTGATTTGATTTTCCCTTATACAACCGTTTGATTACATCATTTCATTTCACGTTCATCATTTCAAGGTTCAAATTGACACATATATAAAAAAAAAACCTTTATTTGAATCATAAATTAACCAATCTGTCAATTCTTGGGTAGCATTTTTTCCAATCTACAATGAAAATTCAATGCAAATTTTCAGGATTTGTTGGCCATGGTCATTATCAAAGGCAATGAGGTAACGAATACAGTGTTCTCGTCCTCTCAGCATATACTACTTAACCTGCAGAGCATTGCCAACAAACCAAAAAATAGCTCTGACATAATTATCTCTGGCAGTGAAAGATTACATTCTTTGACGAATTGTCAGTTTCACAAAGATCTGAGATGAACAATAATGATTTGCAGTGCATAACCACAATGGGCACACAAAAAAAGAAAACTTTAATTTTTTTTTATAAAAATTGAAATCTTTAACATATATAAAATTTATATAATTATTTTACAAATGAAATCGATCTACATCTACAAAAGAAGTAATTAAAATTATAAATACTTCTAGCAAAATCAGATACTTCAACCTCTTTCTTATAGTGATAACTTCAGCGAAGACTTGAGATTTTACTAAGAGCTTTCCATTAACTGTTGTCAAATTTTACACCACTCTTTACAAATAGATAGTTTCACCATCTTAAATGAGGTTTATGTTGTATGATATGTCTATCTAGTTTTTCCCAAAATATCATCAATGCAGCTCTATCCAAGTGGCGTTTAGTCCTGGAAAGTTGGATTACCGTCACTGCCCATTTTTCTACATTGGGATCCATTTTCATTTCATCATACTTTAGATGAAATGCAGCAACTAGAAAAAAATAACTTATTATTAGTTTCCCAACAACTACTACTACAAGATGTAATATTTTCAAAATGAATTAAATAATATGTACTTTGTCACTAAATTCAAAGTTGAATACATATATTGATTATCGATCTAACTGAACATGTTACTCACTTTTGTCAAATATTTCTACAGGGGTGTCCCAAGGATATCCTTTGAACTGCCACGCTGGTCCCATAACCCATACAGCAACCACTCTATCCCAATCACTGGGACTCAATTTAGATGTGTTATCCACAACTCTATAAGGTACAGTTTGACCATTTCTTTGACGTTGAATCAGGACCTCCATGTCTTTTTTACCACCTTCAGCTTTTTTCTGTTCATGCGAGATGAATCTATAAAATAGTTTATGTCAGATATTTATAACAAGTTGTCAAAAACTGTCAAATCATTCATATTGATGAATGAAAAGTGTATCACGGAACAGATGAAACCTAAACTCCAATTGTTAATTTCATTATTAAAAATCAAAGGCATTACATAAACATACCTCAAGTCTTGTAGAATGTCCTTAACATTGTACATGGTGATTAAGGAATTCGCAACAGCTGGAATTATAATTATAGGTGTTTTTGACACTCTCTTCTGAAGAGTACCTGGTGGAGGCCTTGCAGCACTAATGGGCAGTGGAGCTTGAGTCTGGGGTGGTATAGGTCTATTAGCCTTGGCGGAACCTTCCGTTACTGATTTGAGAGACATTCCATGGTAGGTGCCCATGGTGTTGATTTGGAAACCCTCAGTTTCTAGTGGTGAAAGTACAAAAAAGCCATAAATCAATAATCCATCAAATGAATAAGTTAATAAAGTGAATTATAACTTTACTCTATTTATTTTATTGAGTCATTACATTTGTAGCAAGTCCATAAGAAGAATTAAGTTCAATTATCATATAAAGAATGTATCACAACGTATACAGAAATATCAAAAACCATTGTGACTTATGTTTATAACATTCGACCTAATAATGTTGACCTGCAAAACAAAATTGGAGATATTTTTGCAGACTTACATTGATATGTTTTCAAGATGCCTGTGCAACAGCACTTTTTGGCCTTTATGAGGCTTGTGAGGGAGAACCTTCCGAACATATGCACTAATACTATCATATAGATCTGTAAATGCCAAATCTCTGATATCGCTTGTGAAAGACATTGTGATACTCCCACTATAAAAATTTATTACAATCCCATTTTTTTAAATGAATGTGATTATTTTGTACACACTTCAGAACTATCTGATTACCAAAAAAAATAATGTATTAACATATTGAGTAAATTAAGCAAATACAAACCTTCTTTCTGCCTGTTGAATCTTTCTTGATCATATCTGTTGTAAACAGATGGTTGTGTGGTAGTTCGAACTGGAGTTTGACGTGGGGTAATAGTTGGTGGCTGCTGTGGAGGCCTCTGTCTACCTTCTTCTCTGGCTTTAATGCTGGTAAGCATTGCTATGATGTTCTTTGCAAACATCTGCAAAGAAAGTGTTTTCATGTTATACACATCAATGGGGCATGGGTTACAAAAAATGCTATAATAGGCTACCACTCAAGGGATATTCATCAAAATTCCATAATAGTAGGCACTAAATTCTCAGAATTATTGCATTAAAACGAAAACATTGTTGTCAGGTTGTGATTCTATACACTTTTTTCATCTTGGTCATTATTAAATATTAAATAACCAACCTATCAAGGATAGGTTGGTTATTGACATAGGGCAAAGTTCTGTTTGTAAATATAAAATTTACATAGAATGACTGTTTTTTCTCCACTTTTTATAGTTTATGACTTTAACCATGAAGCTTGTGTCAAACATAAAATTTGGTGCCATGTGGCTCAGAAACATAAATATTTGAACCTGGCGTAGAGATCAGAACAGAAATGGAATATGTGGAAAAACGAATGTTACATGTTACAATATTATTTTGTAACATTTTTTGTGGCTTCAATACCATTTGTGGAACTATTCCTCATAGAAATCAGATATTGAAGTTTTGAATAAAACGAGCATGATGTCCCCCAGGTGGCTCAGCGAGTTACTAATATAACTCACCCAGAACATGAGGCCAGTGACCATAGTAACACTAATGCCACCAACAAAGAAAAATAATTGAAACATAATTTTTTATGAAAATTGTTTGAGTACTTTTTGATATAAATAATGTATTGTAGTGCAGTATTATGCCAAAATGATATTTTTACCTTTCCAGTCGATTGTAATATTGTAGTTCTTGTCCTCCACTGTCGCTCACGACTAATAATATCTTTAGTTATATCTACGTCCAAATCCAAAATAGCACTAATATCATACTCCTGCCCAATATCATCGTTGCCTTTTATTGTAGTTCGTTTCTTAGCCAAACGTTTGGCTTTAATGGCAGCAATTTTTTCGACAGACATGGCATCTGACAGGGATCTGTGAATAAATCAAAAGTTAATTTACACATATAAGTTACCCAGAAACCCCAACATACTTGATATTATCTACTGTGACAGAAGCTTCTTTTGGTCCATCCAACTTAGCAGCCAATTTTTCTCTAACTTTCTGAACATGTGTGTCTTCAAACCTTGGCTTCTTAGCTAAACTTTCAGGTCCATCAAAATCTGCAGATCTCTTCACCTGAAAAAAAAAACAATTACCCATGTGCATACACTCTGCTTGAGTGAGAAAAAACACCTGATTAATAGAAATGAAATTATTCAAGTCTGAATGGAAAAAAATAGCAAATTATATTTGAATGTACCAACCTGCGTAGGGATTTCCAAGGGTGCACTCTTATCTATAGCAGGGCAATTTGCAGTTTCACCATTAAGATATGCCAGTAATTCCTTACGATCTGGTCGTCTCACTACTGGAATATTTTCAGCTGCAGCCTGTCTGACATACACAGGGTGGGTAAGAGATACATTTTTAAGGATAAACAGTAGGCACTCCAAGGTGTAGTACTCTTTAGCAGTTCCATCTTTTCCAGACCTGAAAGTTGCACGTTGAAGAAGCTTGAAAGTATAAAATAGGATAAGGAATACTCACCCCCACATAAGATAATTAGTTTTGACATTTTTTGGCCATGAAAATTCTCCAAATATAATTTGTCCATCCCGTTCTATTATTTCTTTTTTATTAACATTATACTGACGCAATAAACTCAGTGGATCCGCCATTTTCAAATAAAATTCACATTCACAAGATTTTCACGTAGAAATCTGAGCTAGCTGGAAAGTTAAAAACCAAGCAAACGAGTATTATTAGCAAGTATTATTTATATGTATCCATATTCTACTTTTGATGCACTGTTTTATACTGACACATATGACAGGTACCACAGAATAGGTACTTGAACAGAATAGGTACACGAAACGAACAATAAACAGAACATAAATGCTCAGAGGATTCATTACCTGTGGAGATTTTATCTTAGGGCACTTAACCTCGGGTGGGACATGGTAGGTACCTAATCTTTGACCTGACTTGTAATCTCAGTATTGATATGCTCCTCAATTTCTTCTGGAATATATTGATGATTTGGAATGGCTGAAATACAATCAACTACTAATTCTTCATTCTGTGTTCCAAATGTGTAAGCTGAGCTTCAGGAATGTTATCATTTTCAGTTGAAGTCAAATGCACAATTAATATTCATCTCTATTCCTGTTCAGTTAATTTTATTGTCGTCGCAGGCCCCCCCTAGTTTTATCATTCTGCAATTTTCATTTTCACTTTGTATTTCCCATCCTGTAGAGCATCCTTCCATTTTTCTGCATCCCTATTTCTAGAGAATTCAACATTCAACTATTGGGAAACTTCTCCCCATAGTTCTTGAGATTATTATTGACATTTTGACAAACGAATTTGCCAGTTATCTGTAATAGAAGTGCTTCAAAATAGGAAGTTTCGATTTACCTTTGGACGAACTTCTGGATCCTGATAACTGGCCCTCTAATTTATCTATACGTCCCTTTCACGATCAGTGCCAATTAAATGCACAGTCAATACATTATGGTCTTAGTAGCTGAGGCCATTACTTGATGAAAGAGAAGAAGATATGACATTTGAATATTTATTAGTTAGGTTACGATTCACTTTTGGCGCGAGGTCCAACTTCAAAAAATTTTACATGGGGACCTTATGGAGGTTTGAATTCAATATGAAACTACACAAGTACATAATGAATACTAGCTCTTAAACATCTTGAGCTAGATACCTTCATGATTTATAAATGTATCAATGTCAGAACAACATCATGGAAATTCCCTTTTATACTTTTTTTATATTGAAATGAAACTAGTGATGTTAAGGAAATTTTCTATTGTCATAGATCGATTCAGGTAAACGTAACGTCACAGATGTCAACAAATTCCGCTCCCACTCCACCACTAACCTAAAACCTAATCAACCTTCATCCATTCAATTCAGTTGCCTGAGATAATGATTAAAAGTATTAAAAATTAATATAAATTCATAATAATCTTAAGTAAGCTTCATATTCCAAACTAAACTCAGACAAGCTTCTATTACAGTAGTAATAATCACTTTGTAATCTGAAGTAACAATGGCAAACATTTAGAAATGTACAATTTTGATGCAGGATTGAAAATCATTAAGGGAAAAGTGAAATTGAAGCATGAGGGACAAGAGCTATCATATCCAGGTGAGTTTTTATTCTTGACCAATAATTTATTCCAATCAAGGCAATTTAATAGAATGTAAATTCATTTTATTCATTGAGTGGGTTCGGAAGCATATTTATGGCTATGACTATTTCTTCCTTTTTGTGAATGAATCTGTTATGTTATCTTCAAGAAAAACTCGGACGTAAATACCTACTGGTTTTATTTCAACTCCTATTAACAACTGACAATCTCTGAATGCGTTTAATAACTGTAAGGCCTAATGGCACAGAATCAAGCGTCTCTGAATGATATACATGACATGTATGTCAACAGAGACTATTTGTAAAATTTATTACTATATTTTTTTCATAGAAGTATTGTAATTCTTATCTTCTACACATATTGTACATCAAATGATTCATTTCAATGAAAGTATTTTCAAAAAAAATGGCATTTTTTTCCATATATTGATTAGGAAACTTACAGAATTTTATTTTCAGAAAGCTATGACTTGGAAGGAGTGAAACAAATTCAATGGGAACGTCAGAATGAAATTGATGGGATTAAATCTTTTGAAAAACTAACAGGAACAAAGGTCATGCGAACAGGATTATGGCTACATACTTGTGGATTTTTGGAGGCCTATCCAGATGGACTGTTTTTTTCAGATGGAATAATTGAAGTCAAGTGTCCATATACCTTGAGGAACTCCCCCTTGGCAGATAATTTGAAGAAAAGTGACATTTTATTCAGTGAAAATGGTGAATATATCGCCAATAGAGATCATAATTATTATCATCAAATTCAGGGGCAGCTACACATTACTGGAAGAGACTATTGTTACCTAGTTTTATGGACCACTGCTGATGTTGCCATTAAGAAAATTGAAAAGGATAAAAGTTGGGAAAAAATATTCATATACTGAAAGAGTTTTATTTGAATGAATATCTCACTTATATAAGCTCTTGTTGTATTGTATTTATTATTTTTTAATATATGCAAATGAATTTTGACATTGTTTACTGATATTGAAAAATGTGATGTTTCTTCATACTAAAAGTAAATCATTCTTCACAGTTATATTTATCACAGTCATAATAATTATAATAATACAAGTACTTTATTGGTGAATACCAAAAGGCCATCGACTAAATCTTCCAGCCAACACAGTCATATATCACAGAAAAACATTAACTAGGACAATTTGTAAATATCAGAATACCTACAGCACATTTGCTATTCATTTACTTGATGCAGTTACTACTTGTTTTGTATTCTGAGATGAATGAGAAAACATGTAATTAATTGATTAATTCATATGCAGGAAGTATGTAACAAGTTGATATAATAGCAGTGAAATTGTTCAGCTCAATTTATTTCAACACGTAACAAATTATGTTGCAATTGTTTGGATACCTATGGTTACGTCCAGGAGCAAAACAATGCATAATTTCAGATTTTCGAAATATCATTTTTCAAGCTCAACTTTGTAGGTATTAACACGTGAATTTTAAATATCCTGCTAACTTTGTTGCCCCACCAGTAATATACCACTCTTCAATCTAAGACATGCGTTCCATCAATTTTGCAATGCATTTTTGTATTGACAAATTCATAAAAAATTATTCATATTTTTCAATTATTTTGTATCAAACAGGTAAAAGAAACTCCATTTCATCTTTTTATTGTATAATATTGTATAATATGCGACTATAGTAGTTATTGGTTCTTTTTGTGATTTCCTGTGCGTATTTCGGTTGTGCTTTTAAATTTTAATTAATAATTTGTGCTTTAACTAAAGGAAACTGCCCGTTACTTGCATTGTGGTTGGCTGTGGATCTCGTAACAACAGGGATAAAGTCGCGTTTCAGAACGATCGTACACCAGCCACATTTTGCGGTCGAATCGACCACACAATTCCAGTTGCGTTCCAGCGAACTCAAGCCGCCCAAAAGAAATATTGTACAACACGTACTACGTACTCGGGCGTTCACAAAAGTCAAAACGGGCGTCTGCAGTCAACTTGCTGCTGATCTCCGCCGAGATGTCATCGCGGCATCCGCCGTATACTAACCACAAACTTGCAGTCGTACCCAACCGCGTACACCGTTGTGTTCTTTTTCTCATATTGGTCTCACATCATTCAATTTATGATTTCAAAATTCTAATCAATTCATCAAAAGAACCAATGGACATTCTGAAGTATTTACTTTTTTTGGTCTTGCCGGAGTTGACCGGTTTTTGCTTGTATGTTATTTCATTGTAATTTCAGTTTTTTGCTTAATAAAATTGTTTTTTCATCTAATCTTTTTAATTTCTTTACAAATTCTTTCAGGGATTTCAAATCAATTTATATCATATTATACAATGGAGGTCCGAACTGATGAAATGCACCACGAAACATTGTCAACCACCTTCAAAGAAAATATAAAAATTTCCTTCCTGTTGTCGCTCAACCAGAAGTGGATGTACCCAAAACGATCGTACCTTCCTACGTCTTCTCCTTCTCCTCAAAATAAGAAGTAGTAGTTAGTCCTTCTTCTTCGAAATCCATATTGAAACTGGCACTGAACTCTGACACCACAAAATATAGATATCAGTTGCCTCAGCTGCAAGTCGACCACAAAAATGTGGTTGGGTCAATCGCGAAGTACAGTCAACGTGGCCACAATGTTGTGATTGCCTCAACTGCAAATATGTGTTCCGTGTACGGCCGGACTTGTTCCTACAGTTTCATAACACAAGTTTTTCACTATTAGAAATGAGTTATCCAGAAAGCGAAGAGCCCATAGGTTAGCTGCAGTCAAGCGAGATGATCTCACAGATTCGAAGATCAAGTATCAGAAAGCCTGTAGCAGATATTTTATAACAAGTCTCTGGATACTTCACTGAAAGCTATTTTGCGTTTAGTGAAAACTATTTGATGATTTACATATTATTTTCAGGCAAACCTGCTTCTTTAGAGGATGGAACTTTGACTGGGTTCCTTCGCAGAACATGGGACATCAGCACATAATGTTCGAAAGACTTATAAAGATGTTGAAAGAAAAGTGAGGTTGTATAAAAGAAAAGTATCTCAAGTAAGTGGTGTTGTTTCAGGTGGAATACTTATGTATTAACATGATTTTGAAATGTTTTCTGTTGACAGAATGAACCCCAGTCTTATATGGATATTGACTTTGATAATGATGAACCTAGAGATGGACAAGAAACAGGCATTTCAAGACACACTGATTTAACGATGGAAGAATTGGCTCTAAAATAAAATTTGAACAACTGACTGAAAAGACTATACCTATCATAAATTGTATGTTGAGTGTTGTAATATTAAAACTCTTATTATATATTCTCTATGAATTTATTAATTAAAAGCCTATGTCATATTAATAATAAAACATAATTGTTAGTTTCCAGTCCTGTATATTAAGATCTTTTTGTACACGAATGTTTTTTCATGTAGACTTGCCCTAATACAGTCGAGTATTTACCGTTGCTGGAGATACAATAAAGTGGTACCATATAAGAAATATAATTTTTATTTGCACGATAACATAACAATTGGCGACGAGGACATTTCGCAATCCGCGCAAAATCTAGTTAGTGTCGAAGTTAGTGTAAAATGGCATCAGGTTCGGGTTTATTACGAACAATAAACACTTTTGATCCTAACAATTCAGACTTCACAGCATTTAGTGAAAGATTGCAAATAAAGTGAACGATGAAGGACAAAAAAAGGCAATACTTCTGAATTCTTTATCAGAACAGTGTTATCTTTTACTGAATAATCACATGATCACCATCTACGTAATTGATATCGTTTGTATAAATCAGAAATAGTAAAGGTTCTAATACACTACCTTGTGGAACCCCAAAATCATTCACTAACTCTTGTGAGTAAGAAGTGTCACGAATAAGTTTGATCTACTTATGTCATCGATGACATCGTAATGACATTCATTCACTTATTTGATTAAATCCCAGTCAAAATGAATCTTGTTCAATTTGAAAGGGTTATATTTTTAGGAGTGACTAATATTTTGGGAAAGAAAGTTTTTGGCTTTCTCTACTTCCATTTTGATACAGAAAAATGTGAAAATTTTTCAAAGAAAGGAAGGAAGCAATCAATTTTAAAAGAAGTAACTGTATACATATAGATGTGTAGATCATACACATATACATATACATCTATGTAAAACTTGGGTTGGTTGTGACTGGCCTTATTTCTCACTTGTTAAGTCGCATTTGAGGTACGGAATTCCTTTCTGGGAAGTATGTTGCAAAACTCAAATGCAGACGGCGTTCATTATTCAGAAAAGGACTATAAGATTCATGTGTAAAGTCAAAAGTCGAGACTCCTGCAAACCCCTATTTAAATCACATACAATTTCGATAGATTTTGGAATCTTTATTTTAAAAACAGTATGTTTAATTAACAAACATAAATTGATATCTAGCGGTTATTCCAATTATTATGTTCTTGTCAGTCAAAGACTATATATTATAATGGTTTCGAAATGTTTAATCATTTACCTGACCATATTTGAATTTTAGAGGATAACTGTGTATTCATCAATGGTAGACCCTATTATAGTCTAGAAGAGTTCTATAAGGACAGCTTTATGATTGTAACCACCTCAAAGGAGCATCCCGAACTCCATATCTAGATAACTTTGTTATGAGAAGGTCGTGATCAACGCAGTCGAATGCCCTGCTGGGATCATAGAAAATCCCCAAAGGGCACTCGCCGGCTTCGATAGATGAAATTAACTTGTTACACAAGTTATGCATGGCTGTTGATGTAGATTTGCCTGCAACAAAACCATACTGTGTATTTGTTAATATATTATTCGCATTTACAAACTGAAGAAACCTGTCCAGAAAACAATACTCTATGACTTTTGAAAATGATGATGGAACTGTAACTGGCCGATAATTTTCCATCTGCGACGGACTACCTTTTTTGTGAATTGAAATCACCTTTTTTTTTAACATTGATGGAAATAATCCATAACAGAATGAAATATTTATTACATATACTAATGGTTTCGCAATTATTTTCAGTACCTTTCTTACTAAAGAGTTTGGAATATCGTCGGGACCTGCAGAATGTTTATTTTTCAATTTTGGATATATTTAGGATATAAGTTCATCTTCCGTGAAAGGACAAATGCTTTTGAAATTGGTGTTAACTATAGGTTCTCTGAAATTAACTGAAACTTGCTCATTTCTGCATGATATTTTTTCTAAATATTTTGATGGATTTTCTCAGGAACTGATTCAAAAAACTCATTAAACATATTGGATACTTCTTTGGGATTCTCTANAACTAATGTTTTAATCATATACTCTACGACACTGGTCACTCATTTCCACTCAAAATACCTACATAATCGGATTAAAAGTTTTATAGCTGTATTGTATTTCTTCAGATACAAGGTGGGTTAGTCGAAAACATCTTAAACTGCCAGTTTTAGTTTGGTTTTTGTTATTATATCATATTAGCTGTCCTCTCTGTATTTCAGTTCTCTAATGAGGGTCAAACTTGCAGTGAGCTATCAACAAATTATGAACGGACTATAGGTTAGAAAAACTCACCTGTCCAACTGAAATGTATAAATTGTCCTCAATCTTTGTTTCCACTATTACAACAAAGCTAGATTCGAAATATTTATACGATTCCAAACTTTTATATGCCTTCATCTGCACATGCCAATAAAAGCTGTGGGTGAAAACCAAATACGAAGCAATATCCATATATGTAACTGGAGGAACACCATCAATTGAATAATCCACATCAGAAACATTCAATGACAAAGGGTCTAAACCATTCACCAATCTCAACTTCATTTTATAAATCTGTAACACAATGATAAACAGATGATGGTGTATTTTTTTGAACATACGTTTAGCGACGTCTCTGCTGTTCAGCAATAGTGATTTCAAGTATTCATTTTCCATTTTGATCGAATTTAAACACCACAATAGCTCCAAAAATGAGTAAAAACACTCCACAACAGCGAACGACACCAAAACCAATGCTCTTATGTGTGCCATACGCCGCCATATTGGGTCACGCGGTTTGAATTGCTCTATATATGGATTTTAAGGTAATGCTTCTTTCCATTAATTCCAATTCCAAAATATCATTATTTCAAGTTATGAAATATCTGGTTGAGAGGACAGCTTTCAAAAATTAACTGCTGTACATTTAGAAAATTAGGTACCATGCATTGTCACATTCTAAGAACAATGACGTTTATTACTAGTGATCTAGGATATTGAAAATAGATCATCTGATATCTATAAAAGGATTCCACTTTCGTTCTGGCAAGTATACCTACATTGATCCTTAAGATATATATTAACCCAATTATTACCACAATATCGGTTTTGTTGAAATGATCTATGTCTGCTTGCTCTGAGCAAGCAGCAAATAATTTAACGGTTTATTGCGTCTGTTATTCTTTGTCACTTAACTGACATAAGCGAAAAATTCCGAGATGACCGACAAAGCTCTGTTCAGAGATGGCAAGCGAAAAATCGATTATGTCTTTATTTATTCAACAAAAATTATCGGAACAGAAGGTGAAAATAAAGTGACAAAATATATTAATAATATCGAGAAAAATGGTTTACAAACTGAAAGGGAACAAGGGGCGGTAAGTGGTTAATTTTTTATAATAATTTTCCAATTGAACGATTTTACGTTTTCCAGGTCTTGAAGGAATACACGTGCGTGAAGATACACGCCCCCGAAAAAGTATTGAAAGAATTTGCGGAAGTATTCAAGATAGATTTAACTAAAGATAACCCGTATTACAAAAATCAAAAAGCGCATTTCAAATTCGTTTCTAATATATTGACCACACCCAATGAAAACCATTTTGTGTTTAAAAGAGCACCGTAAGTATTTTGACTGAATTTACAGACCGTTCTTGATAATGCAAAATTCTTATCAGAAAACTTGAAACTGATTCTGGAACAAATAAGTTTTGTTGTTGAGGGACACACAAGCGTGTCCCTTAACAACAGACACTTTTCAGTAATTATTTGCCAACGCGGCTAGCGCTAAGTTTTCATTTTTGATTGTTGTATATGTAAGTATTCATCATAGATATGCGAAATCTGGAATTAGACAGCGTTTTGTTAAAAGTTTTTTCTACTGGAATTTAAACATATACCATCTTCAAAATTTTACTGACTATAATTTTTTAACCTACGTCTTGAAGAGAAAAAAATAATATTGTTTAGAAGACGTATAATCATTAATTTAACGCAATTCAAATCAGTACAATGAATGTACATTTATATATGTTGAAAGTGAGCATAGATTCCCAATAATTACATTACATATCAATCTGAATAAAATGATAGTGAAATATTTTTGAATTCAAGCTTTTATTGAAGCTTACTATGCTAATGAAATGAATAGTTTTGTGCCGAATGAGATGACAACAATGAAACTCTGCTTTGGTCTTCAACTTCGTAATCTGAGTAAGATTATAGGTTCGGTTAGTTTTCAGAACTTCGTTTAGTGGAATAAACTTCCTGAGAACATTTTTCCAAATGGATATAATCTTCAGCGATTCAAATCACTACTTTCGCACAGGCACCGATCTTAGAACGCCTCAAGGACTTTCTTGAAGTGCTTGTTTTTTGTCTTTAGAAAAAAATCTCTAAATGTAAATGAAAGAAATTCAATTTCTTATAGAAAATATTACCTATTTTATTATTACCTACTTATAATCACCACTTAAACCTTCAGGTAGGAACGGAGTAGAAATAGAGATAGAAATCTCAAGAAACATAACATACAGAGTGTCAATTTGAAAATTTCCCACCCTTATTATATTGACTCCTTTTAATAAAAATTGTTAGAAGAGTAGGTGGCACCGTTTCAACCCTTGAATGACAGGAATAAATGTATTTCGCGTTGGATTTTTTATTTGTTGGTTATTGTCCTTTTACAAAATATAATTTCATTTGTGAGAAAGACATTTCAAAAATAAAATCTACTTACGCTAGTTTTTAAACTGTTCGAAATATCGTCCATTTTGCTCTGAACAACAATAAGGTCTGCTTTCAAACTCTCCTGTAACATTACGGAAAACTCCACTAGGAATTGACTACTATGCTGCTGTAATTTGTCTTTAGAGTTCTTCAATATCAGAAGGTTGTGTTTTATAAACAACGGATTAAAGATGTCCCTAAAGAAAGAAATCTGAGGGTGTTAAATCTCGGAGGTCATTCAATTGCTCCCCTTCTGCCAATTTATCTATCCGGAAATCTCTCGTTTAACCACTGTCGGACGGGAAAAAAATAATGAGCTGGAGCACTGTCCTGCTGAAAATGTAACAGATCCTCCTGCAAAATTTGATTACCTTCTGCATCCATTTGAGTTTCTAGCTTGTGAGGTATGAGAGGATCGATAATCTCTTCAAGCATTTCATGGTACAGATTGCCAGTCAAGTTTTCTTCCAGAAATAATGATCCAATAATGGCATTTCCAAGAATACCAGCCCAAACATTTACTTTTTGTGTGTTGTCTATGGTCTTCCCGAAAAATATGTGGGTTTCCGTCACTCCAATAGCGACAATTTCGTCTATTAACATTGCCAATCAGAAAAAATGAACACTCATCGCTGAAACAGATGTTCATCAGAAGATTAGGGATGGTAATGACTCGATGAGACATGATTACACAAAACTCTATTCTTTTATCATAATCATCCTCGTGGAGCTCTTGAAGAGTATGCATTTCATAAGGATGACATTTATGCATTTCAATGCTTTTCTTACAGTCTGGCGTGACATTCACGTCTGTTCTGATACTTATCGTAAGGTGCTCGTGGGCTCTGCAGCAAATGTTCCCAAAACTTCAACCTGATTCATTTGGTAGTCTGGGTTTTTATTTTCTTCTGAACAAATTTCGTAAAACTTATTCAACAAATTAAAAACATACCGGTGACTTACATTACAATGTGGATGTCTTTCGTTAAACAGACATGCCGCCTTTCGTGCACACTTTCCAACTTCTCCATAAATTATAATCATTTCAATGCTGTCTTGACAGCATTGAAATGATTATAATTTATCCGGCAATAAGCCTCAAAACGACGAAACTAAGACTCTTTAGTTCCTTTATTTCATTTAGGAATATGTCATCATTTATTCACCATAAATAGGTCCTGTGTGGCGAAATGAGTTAGTTGTATCAGTTGAAAGTGATACCAGTGACAAGTGACAAGTGCACCGATTTTATTCGAAAGTGTTTTTAATTATTTTTCATGCTTACTTTACGAGTTTTTATTGCAAGATCCTTTATACGTTCTTGACTTTTTATCAGATGAATTTATTCAAATATAATTCAATTCAAAGCTGATGGGAGACAATTATCAAAGTAGCAGATTTGCCTGTGGAGACGCCGCAGATGATATTGGCAGCCAAAATCGAACCTAGAATTTCATTTTAGAACGAAATATTGGTGAGTCATGTCAATAAATGAAAACGGAATGACTGATTTTCCAAGAAAAATGTCGGTAATTTATAAATACCATTTAATCATGAAAGACAATTAAATTATTCAGATGATATTGCTGAACAAGCTAGAGCATTTTATCAATAAACATATAAGGAAATGCGTTTTGGCTATGAAAAATGTTAAATTTTCGGTTGGGAAAAAATAATTCCAAAAATTGGAGAATTGAAACGCTTTAGATTGATTACCAAAATGGCTTGGGTTTGAAGCGACGAAACTCCGGGGTAAGGTGGCAAAATGTTAACAATGTTTTCAATCGTGATGTAACAACGGATGTAATCATCAATTTAACTCATAAAAATCCTAAAAATTTTCTAGGCGATGCTTTTTCATTATTCAAACGTGGGATTTCCAAACTTTTGAAATAAATGTCATGTCTCAAAGTTAATTTACCATTTTTGGGGAGTTTTATTGAAAAATCAAATGATAAGTTAGGCGAATTTGAAGAACCACAGTCGGGGTGGGCTTTGAGTAAAACTATTTTGTTGGAAGTAGCAATAAATAAATATTCAATGGGTAATGGTTCCTCTTTCATTCCACTGCCGCAAGAAATCGTAAGGAAACAGGTATGCAGTGATATACAAAACGATGACGAAAAGTGCTTCTTTTGAAGTATTATTAGCGCCGTATATCCTGTAGTAGAAAATTCACATATAGTGTTGAAATATCCACACTATCGTTTTGAATACTACAGGGCTAAATACTCCAATGGAGTTACATTAAATTTACAAATTCGAAAGATTTAATGATATTTCTGTAAATGTTTACACTTTAGAATTGAATTAGGCAAAGAAAAAAATATTTTATGTAGTAGTACCTGACAGACTCCCGACAATAAAACGAGACAGGCATGTTAATTTGTTAATAATTCAAGATGAATAATTTATAAAATTGAACGATTATGAGGCTCTAGTTATTGATGATGACTAGACTGAAATTAAATTTCATTATTGTTGGATTAGAGACATGTCCCGATTATTAAGTAGTCAATTGAACAAGAATTGCAAAACAATTCTTTTGTGATAGATGCCTCAATTATTATGATCATACTGTTTTGTGTGAAAAAGTGAGTGGATGTGAATTTTTTTTCCTAAATACGATTATGTGGAACATCGAAATTATGTTCATGAACGAAAATGCCCGTTAAAACTACAAAATACCAAAAACATATACCTTCTAGTGCAGGCTACTACTTGAAGTGTTCACATAACGACATTTTTTCAAGTTTCAAGACGATCGAGGTGAAGAATGTATGAAATGTTTTGCCGATGAGTTGTCTGATGTTGCAAAATTTGTTGAATAAAAAATGAAGAATATTAAGCTGATGATAGTGCCTTTAAATAGTATCGGTGCTGCAACGACTTGTCATATTTGCGAACAACCGTTTACCCCCAAAGATGTTATCGTGCACGACCATGATCATTTTATGGGAGCGTTTGGTGGTGGGCCCACCAAGCCCCTTGTAATGTGAATTTTCGAAAATTATTTGTGGTACCCATTACCTCTCATAATCTTTCAGGATACGACAGTTACTTCATTATAAGGGATATCGTAAAAAGAGAATGTGTGAGCATACTACCCTAAAAATACATTTTCTTCAAACAGAACAATGCTGAAATTAAAAGTGAATTTTGATTCATAGATTATTTTCGATTCATGGGAACTTCGTTNCGTCCCACTGTCCTCCGACATTGCTCATAAGCCACAAATGCTCTTTTTGCTCTACTCTGTAGGTGAGAGTTCCATGTAACCTTCCTGTCGAGGGTGGTACCAAGGTATTCAACTTCTTCAGAGAAGTTTAATTTGCTTTTAAAGATTTCGGGAGGTTTTAAGCCAGATAAACGTATTTTCCTAGTAAAAAGGACCATCTCAGTCTTCTTGGGATTGATCGACAATGAGGGTTCGTTATACCAAGTTTCTATTAATTTGATTGAGCCCATCCTGCGCTCTATCGCAGTGTGTTCACAAATTTGCCGGTCTGCAAGATAACTATGTCATCTGCATATGAAATTGTGTAGAATCCATTATCGTTGAGGTGATTAATCAGGGTATCCAGAACTATGTTGCAAAGAAGAAGTGATAAGATTCCTTCCTGTGGACATCCCCTCATGACCAGTCCTCTCACTGTGATGTCTTCTATATTGATAATTATTGCTCTTTAGAGAGCAACTTGAGTATCCATTCTCCTACTACAGAGGTACATTCCTGGAGTGTAGTTGCTGGGTAATTGTTGGAAAGGTAGTTTTATCAAACGCTCCCTCAATATCTATGAATATACTCAGGGTGGGGGTATTTCCATATGATTATGTAGATAACATGGAAAAATTAAACGACACCTAGTTACCATCACGAGAAGAATTTTGTA